TGGTAATCGAATTATCCTTGCGCGAAATGACAAGACAAAACATTCGCATTCGTCCTCGCGTGTCCATATTCTTACACACTCAGCCCTACAGACGACACCATCATGGGCCACTGCACTCATAGGCAAGCTGCATGAGACGGGATATGAAATTAGTTCTGGAAGTTTGAGCCAGGATGTGATACAGAGGAGTAGCGATGCGAGAAACACATGCATCATGGTAATCGACGACCTGGCTCAGCCAATTCTCTCCGACCGGGCCTGCTTCAACTCTGCCATTACACTGCTCCGACAGGAACACCGAATTATCTGGCTTAGCTTGGACAGCCCATCCTCGATGCACCAGATCACTGGCGTCGCGCGAACTGCGCATGCTGAGAATGATAATCTCCGTCTCACTGTAGTCCATGCCGCCCTCGAAGCGATTGGAAGTCCTGCATTGGTCGATTTACTCTGCCATTGTCTGGCTTATGCTCCTACTCGAGACTCTCTTGCGCATTGTGAACGGGAATATCGTGTCAGTCGGGATGCTGCAGTGCTTGTCCCACGCCTACGAAGCAGCGACTGCTTAAACCGCGCCATCCGAGCTTCAGAGGAAGCCTCCGAGCCTAGCAGCAACATTGAAACGGAACCATATTACTATATAAACTCTACGAGGCGCTTAGCTCTGGGCCCAGTCCAAAGCTCAAAAGGCGACGGCGACATTGTTTTCATCGACAGTCACACGGTGGAGTTGGCGGAAGGACAAGTCGAGGTCGAGACGGAGGCGTTTGTGTTGTCCAAGTCTCAGAATCTGACGAGTTATCAACTAGGGGAGTACTCAGGTATAGTGAGACGTGTAGGCAAAGGCGTACGAGATTTCAGTCCAGGAGATGCCGTGGTCGCGCTCGCGCTCGATGGAGTTGTCGGAGCCAACCATGCCCGGGTTCCCTCCTCACATGTTAGTCGACGACCGGACAGTTTGTCACCCGCTGTTGCTGCCGCTCTCTTTCTTCCTACCATAGCTGCCAGTTATGCCATTCATCATCTTGCCCAGATTTCGAAAGGAAAATCTATCGTACTCATCCACGGCGTCCTGACCGATATTGGACGGGCGAGTGTAGCAGTGGCTCGAGTCCTTGGCGCAACCATCACTGCAACAGCCATCAGCCGACAAGAGGCCCTAGAAATTACTCGACAGCTTAACATTCAACTCGAAAACATCATCGTCAGCCGTCCTTCACTGCTGCGGCCACAGTTGGACGAGCTTTTCCAGCTAGACGCTATAATTCACATCAGCGAGGATTCTGTTCCTGCTGCCGCATGGAGTTGCCTAAAACCCTTTGGACAGGTAGTTGTTTTCAACTCGTCTTCCTCCATCACGTTCCCTTCACCGCCGCCTGAGAATGCCACCATACATTATTGCCACATCACCAATCTTGTTCAAGCGCAGCCTGACCGCTTGGCGGATCTAGTATCCCTAGCCACCCCAGCCCTACAACGAATCCCGTTTAAAGGCATAGACCTGTATATCCAAGATGTCGCCCAGGTTCGTGAGGCCATCCACCTGGTCAGACAGGGTGGAAAGGTTATCCTGCAGGCGTCTCCAAGCTCTCTTGTGCGCACAGCCATCCCCTCGAGCGTCAGCATGGACTGGGAAGCAGCGGATGCTGCTTATGTTGTTGCAGGAGGTATGGGAGATCTCGGCAGGCGTCTTTTGTTGCTCATGGCACGTCGTGGCGCTATGCATCTTGTCACACTTTCCCGACGATCCATTGAACCGGAAGACCACCGCTCGTTTCAGGAGCAGCTCAAGCTCGTCCAACCAGGCTGTCGTCTATATTGTTTAGTGTGTGACATCACTTCTGAATCCAGCGTGCAAAATGCAGCAGACACCCTTACCCGAACAGGTGTCCCCCCTGTGCGAGGTGTCATTCAGTCTGCAGTCACTCTTCACGTAAATACATCCCCTTTAACTATCAAGTCCTCGAAACGCAAAGCTAACACATACAGGATCGCACCCTGGAGACCATGACCTTCGATGACTTCTTCGCGGTAGCCCACGCTAAGGTGGACGGCACCTTGGTCCTCGAGAGGGTTTTTGCATCTCCTCATCTGCACTTCTTTCTCATGCTCTCATCTGCAGTCAACATAACTGGTGCCAGTGGACAGGCTAATTACAATGCCGGCAATGCCGTCCAGGATGCCATTGCGCATGATCGCGGACCTGGTTACCTATCGATGAATATTGGGTGGATCGAGGACGCCATCAATACATCCAATAATAAAACCATCCTCCAAGGGCTATGGCGTACCGGCTTAAAGCCCATACTTGGACAAGAGCTGTCTCGCTATTTTGACCATTTGCTTGGGGCCGCATCCAGTCACTCGCGTATGCGTCAAGCCATTATTGGCTTCAACGCGGCGTCACTTTCGCATACATCAGCTAGCAACAGCAATGTCCATTCAGCCATGTTTTGCCATATACGTGGCTCTTTAGCCGCAGAGGAATCGTCATCGTCCACGAATAGTGTACGATCCTTTGGCGATGTCGTGGAAGGCGGTGACCCTGATACCATTATCGACTTCATTGGTAGTGCCATTACTCGTCGGCTCATGACACTCATTTCAATGGATGATGACCAGATCAAGGATAGGAATGGCTCCATTCTAGATCTCGGTTTAGATTCACTTGTTGCTATCGAATTGCGCAATTGGATCACTCGCGAGTTCAAATCACCCTTGCAATCGTCTGAGATCCTGACAGACCAGCCCATACGTGATCTTGCCGAAAAAGTCGCTTCTCGCTCGTCTTTGCTAGCATCTGGATTGGACAAGGAAGCCACTGCAGACAGCTTAGAAAACGGCGATGCTGAAGATCATCATTCAGCAGGGGCTGTAAGGCCTTCAACATCAGCACACTCAACTGTCAAATATGTTTCAGAAAAGCTACCGCCTTTGCCTCTGCCTCCGCTTTCAGATACCCTCCGCCTCTTTGAAGACTCTCGACGCGCTATCGATACAGCCACCCATCGCCGCAATACTAGCGATGCTGTGCATAATTTTCTCGGGGGCCCTGGGCCTAGACTATATAAAAGCCTCCAAGAGACAAACTCGGATGTCATTGCGGACACCTACGATCGCCAAGTGTATCTAGACCGCCGTGAACCGCTTCCAGAACAGGGTCCGTTTATCTTTATCCATTCAATACAAGCCCCCGTACACTCGCAAGCAAGGCGTGCTGCCATCCTGACTATAGCCGCCTTCGACTTTATCCGTCTCTTGGCTCGCGGCGACATAGCTCCTGATACGCTCCACGGTGAGCCGATTACAACGGAAGGACGTAATTGGCTTTTCTATGCCACACGTCGACCTGGCATCGGCGTAGACCGTATGGAGCGCCATGTCCCTAACCATACCGTAGCCGTACTCCGTCGTGGGCATGTTTTCCAATTAAGACTTCCAGATGTCGAGCAAGCGCTAGACATGTTGGCAGTCACGAGAGTCTATGATGATATTCTTACGGCATCATGCGACGCCATTCCGCCCGTTTGCACCCTCACTGCCGACGAACGAGACTCATGGGCATCGGTATAGTTGTTCCCTCCCTGGCTTGCCTCCAGTTTCTTTCAGTTGGTTGTACTAACTACCTTGACCAAAGTTCCGGCTAGACCTTGAACGTCACCCTCAAAATGCCGCGGTTCTGGCATGTATTGATACGGCCGCATTTGTCATGTGTCTTGATGATGAGTCACCGACTAACTCTGGAGAAAGATACACGCAATTTATGATTAATGGGGCGCACCGACCCTTTGCAAATCGTTGGCTGGATAAAACTCTCCAGTTTGCTGTTACTGCCAACGGCATATCAGCTGAAATATATGAACATAGTAAGCTCGACGGTATAGACACAAATCGTCTGCATGCTCATATCGCTCGTGCTATTCTGGCTCACCCACCGAGTGAAACGGCAGACATTTCGTCTGTTTCCTCACCCTATGCAGTCCAACAACTCATGTGGGAACCAAGCTCTGCCACGCTGCAACGTATTGAACATGTCCGGGCCCAATGCCAGGTATATGGACCTCTCGATCACCAGGTATTCGATGTTGCCAGCCTCGGTTTTCGTTCCCTGCGTGGCTTTCGCTTGCAGCCAAACGCCACTGCACATCTCACTGTTCTTCTTGCCCTTTATCTTGTTGACGGAGAAATTAGGCCGGCCTGGGAAAAAGTGTCTCTCGGGACTTTTGCTCGCGGCCGAGTAGAGTGGGTGCAGACCGTCTCTCCAGCCACGCGCGCCTTTGTAGAGGCGGCAGCAGCTGGCTATATAGATTCAAACAACAGGACTCGAGTCCGTGCTTTATTACACCAGGCCACGTCGACACATTCGCGTGCCCTGGTCGCAGCAGGTCGCGGCCTCGGCGCTGTGCGAGCTTTATACGCCCTTCGAGGGGCTGCCCAAGAACAGGAGAAAGAACTACCAGAGCTTTTCAGGACACATTCCTGGGATGCCACGCGCCGCGGCGGTCCAGGTCAAGATGTCAAGCTTGGCTTCATGCGGCTGGCGCCTGATGACGATACTAACGGCAATGTCGGGGCCACACCTGGAGATGATGATATCAACGACCACTGGGACGAGGCTGGCTTCCTAGTATGTGGAGAGCGTGGTGTCTATGTTCACTGTAATGTGTGGGAGAACCATGCCCGATTTGCGGTCTCGGGCCGGCCAGCATATGTAACAAAGTTATGTAAGGCAATGGGACGTGCAAGCTATATAATTACCAGCCTGCTAGACGATCCCTCGAAGTGTCCTACATAGTGTAGTAATAAAAAAAGCTTCATTTGCATCAAATTGACCGCGAACATCTTGTGTAGGCAGTGTAGGTAGCATGAGATGTGCAGAATTCATTCATTCTCGTGGACTCGCAAGGAGTCCAGCATTACTTAGCAAGCACGCCAGCCTGCCGATATCGATCTAGGCTGCGTATTGTGCTCACGGCGAATACGGAGTATTACAGGCGAGATCAAATACGGCACAATCTCCGATCCTCGGTAGCCTTCCAATACTCGTCGCTCCCAACGGCGGCATTGGCCCAAAACACGTGCCTTGGATCATACTTGGTCTTGACTGCCAACAACTCGTTGTAATTCGAGCCGAAATAATCCTCCTTCCAATGCGGGTTATCCCACGTCGCCTCATTCATATACGTCCCTGCCCCAGGCGTGATAGCGCGGAGGTCCTCCTGCCACGCGTTGAGCTGCCTGTAGTCTGCGAGGATATTATCCCATGTGGACTCCTGGGGCAGCGATCTCGCAAAGGTTGTGGTGAAGAGCGAGTCACGCCAGGAGGGCAAAACAGCGTTGTGGATATGGTTCACATTGGTGACGTTGGCAGCGACAGACAAGATAACCGCGCCTCTGTGGGCGATGTCGCGGAAAGTATTAACAAGCGCGGGGAGCCCCGAAACCTCATCCTGCACTCCTGAACGCGGGATGAGGCGGCCGCCGAGGGTGATATTGCTGGCGTAGGTCTGCGTGGCCCAGTGGCTGTAATGCTCGGCAAAGTTTTTATGGACATTGCTCCGGTAGCTGCCGGCCAACGAGATATTGAGGTCGGAGAGCTGGGTGACGAATGGTGCCATGGCAGCGTTAACAGTGTCTGTTGTGTTTGTGTCAGGTAGTGTGGCAAACTCAAGCGCAAACGCCTTGGCCGTGATTGCAAAGACGGTGGTGATGCCCCTATGAAAAGCATGCAAGACGAGCAAGTGCCGTAGCCACGCCGTGATGCCGCCCCAGAACACCGCGTCGTTACCGGGGTTGGTAAAGGAGAAGCCGGCGCCGACTACGGGACCGTCGGCGTGTGCCCGGACCGTCATGGAGAGGACCACGGCAAAGTTGCCGCCTCCACCGCCACTCAACGCCCAGAAAAGGTCCGCGTGCTCACCATGGCCAGTGAGCGCCAGATGCTCGCCCGAGGCCGTCACGACCTCCCATTCCAGGACCTGGTCAGCAGCGAGGCCGTATGCCGCACCAAGGGGCCCATGGCCACCGCCCTGGCTAAAACCACCAGCCAGTCCAACGGTGGGACAAGAGCCACCGACGACTCGATATCCGCGAGCGCTGGCTGCCATGTACACTTCCGAGTACTCGACGCCGGCGCCCACGCGGACAGCCGGCCCGGTGTAGAGCGGACTGGCGTAGTCGAAAAATTCCACTTGCTTTAGATTGTGCATCCACAGTGCCAGCGATCCCCTACCGGAGGAGCGTCCTAGAAAGTCGTGTCCCGTATTCTTGATGCTGAGGCGTATATTATTGTCCTCTGCGAACCGGATGCCTGTAATGGCATCTTCAGCGCACCTAATATCGATAGCGTAGGACGCGAGATTGCCCAAGGTGCAGGGCATTTCCGGATCTAGGAACGGGCTGCAGGAATTATTGTTCCAGTAAGGAGACATGATATTGACGGGGTCATTTACACTGCATAGGTATTAGCGGTCGTATATAGAGAAAAACATATATATATACTATAAGAGTAGTTCCATGAATTATATTTCGGCATGACTTACAACGGCTCTAGCAGCGTCCACTCACTCCGAATTTTGGAGCATTCTCTACTATTTATCTTGGGTTCGTGGCAGTTTTTGCCTAAAGGAACCCCGCGAATAAGCCTACCTCCTAGTGTTTGGTTCAGTTTGTGCCAAGCCGTGTGGCTAGGCCACTGTGCGTCACCTGGGAGGTAGTGACACTTGGAACCATGATGTGAGGCGGTATTGTTCGAAGTTGAGCCGACTGGCGACGCGCCCACTACGGACAGTACAGCTATGAAAGCGGCCACTGCTACGAGATAGAGCATGGTATGTAGTGGCACGGTATGTAGTACTGGGCTCAAGGTGGCCTTTTCAGTGCTGATGGCGGAGCTGGAGGCCATGTCACTACATATGTACTTTTTGTATCTATCACCCACTCAGTCTACCAGCGTATAATAAGGCACGAATACGAGTCCTTCAAACCTCTAACCCCGCTGGGCTGCTGTGAACTATTGCCGCAGGGGCATGTAATAGAACATCGGGTTGCAACCGTAAGGTGGGGATGGAACTTTTGCCTTTTGGGGGTCAAGTACCACCCACACCTTTAGCCGTAATACCTCTTGACGCCGCCTATCTTGCGAAGCAGTGCGATTGGAAATTTTGTTGACCCCAGGACTTACCAAGGGTGTGATTCCCGGAATTAGGTTTACTTTTTTAACCTTAATTTTCATTTTTAGATTATTTTATTTTATAATATATTA